CTTTAATCCTTAACAGCTCTGTATAAAACAACTAAAGGTATTCCATAAATTCCAGTTTCCCTGCATAAAGGAGCATCTTTCTTTTTCCTAGGTATCAATCTCAGAGCAGGCATTTGATTTTTTGGAGTGCCTAGTTCCCAAGTGCCAGGAAGGAATAAAGATTTCATTATGCAATCTTTCATTTTATGTTTCCTTCTAACTGGGAAGGAAAGAATCCCCAGTCTTGCCCAGCAGAGTGACATCTTTGGGTTTCAGCACATGTATCATGCATTAGCAAGCCATAGTAGGTAGCAGGGATTGTTACATGTGTTGTGTTTACAGGTGCAAGGGAAGGATGCTGTTTTGCTGACAGCCTTAACCCCTTTCAAAACTGGTTTCTGGGACAACGTATAGATCCCTCCCTGTTGGTTTCCAGCATCATGTCTGGATGGTTGTAGATACCACAGGGTTGCTTGTGTAGATATATGATTCATCTGCACACGGTGAACATTGCAGAGGAGGGCAAAATTTTGGYGTGATTTATATAAACTTATTGGTTCTTAATGCCTGTCTTACCAGTCCAGGTGAGAAGCATGCCTCCCCGTGCTGGGATGAAAAGTGCTTGTCCTTTTGTATTTGCTTGGTAGTGATGCTTTTCTTTATCCGGTTGGTGTGTGCTTGGCCTTCAAAGTGGCCCCATTGACTGCCAGTTTTTGACACGGCTCAGTGTTCCTCATATTTCCTGCTTCTTGACAGCAGTCCCCATGAGCCTGAGAGATCTGTAGTAACCCGAGGTCATTGTCAGTCCACACTGATAGGCAGACTGTGTGTCCAAGCACTGTGATGGGAGTCTCTAAAATGTTGCCATGTTTTTGGCAGGCTCTGGGCGAGCCCCTCTACCGTGTCAGCACTGGGAACTAYGAGTACCGCCTCATCCTGCGCTGCCGTCAGGAGGCTCGCACACGCTTTGCCAAGATGAGGAAGGATGTGCTAGAGAAAATAGAGCTCCTGGACCAGAAACACGGTGAGTGCCACTGCTGAGTTCAGCAGACCTGGCTTTGGCCTGTGTGTTCCTCCTTCCTCTCAGCTCAGAAGTTCTTTGCTGAAGAACCCTTTTGTGGCTGTGCCCGAGACATCAGCCCTGAGGGGTCAAAAGGGATTAATGTGTAGGAGATTGTATCTAATGCTGGCAAGGGAAGTTTGATCACAGCCTTCACACTGTTTAGGAAGGGAATTTTCACACTGTTTTCCCCCAACATGTCCTCACTACAGTGCAGGACATCGTATTCCAGCTGCAGCGTTTTGTGTCCACGATGTCCAAGTACTACGACGACTGCTATGCTGTGCTCCGGGATGCRGATGTCTTTCCCATCGAGGTGGACCTTGCCCGCACCACTCTCAACTATGGGCARAAGGACACCTACACAGACGGGGCAGAAGAAGAGGGAGAAGGCGAGAGAGAGGGTAGTGGGAAGGAGGATGCAAATGGAGAGAAGCTCATTGATGATGCCTGAGTGTGCCAGTAKGGCCAGAGAAAGAACTTTGCAGACTGTTATGAAAACATGTGTTTCACATGGCAATTCATCCTCCRTGGTTTCTCTGTGTGTCCAGCCTGGGATTCCTGCTCTGCTTTGGGTGGGGGTGGCTGGTTGGATTGGGACCAACCTCTGCTTTCCTCTTTTTTCATTTGCTTCTTTGCCTGGATATTCTTTTTGTTTTGCCCCTAGAGACTTCTGCTACCCAACCTGGGTACTGAGGTGTGGGCAGGAAAAGCTGCTCCCCCATCATCATGTGCCTCTGTGCAGACAGGACTCTGCTGAGCACTGGGCAGCACTGCKCCCCTCTGACACATGGAAGCTGCTTAAGTGTTTGGGGATGATTACAGATGGTGAGAGCAGCCTTTTTCCATCCTCCCCTTGTGCTATGGGAAAGTGYTGGAATCACTACTTGCTGTCTTCAAGCTCCTTCTGAGGATCCACCTTAGAACTGTGATGGAAATGCCCTGTCTTTAGACTAGAAAGGAGACACAAAGCCTTGTGGAGGGAGGAAGACGTGCTCTTTAGGCAGAGGCTCTGAGATTTTTTTAGTGTAAAGAATTGCTAGTGTGCTCTCCTCTCTGCACAACTATTTTGTGCCGCCTCTGGGCCAGTCAGCAGCAGTAGCTAACATCTCATTTCCCAGCACAAGGAAAGTGGTAAAAGGAAAGCTGAGGTAAGTGCGATTTCTTTCCTCTTTCCTTTTCCCCTCCCTCCATCCCTGTGGGCCAATCCCAGATGCAGATGGCACTTTTTCTGTTAGTGGGCAGCACAACTGCCAGGAGTGGTATGCTTCTTGGGGCAGGGGCTTTGATTTGTCTGTCATTATATTCTAGTAGTCGTGAGATAAGTTATTTAAGGGCATTAATTTATGATTGTGGGACTTTTTTTTTTTTTTGATTTGTGTTTCTCTGATTGTTTTTGAAGCTTCTTCATCTCTGTGGGTGCCTGGAAGAAAGCCATCCATGGTCAAGCTGCCTTGGAGAATTTAAACAGACTCTGATGTAGTGACTATTGTTTCTAATAAAGAAATGTGACATTTCATTTCATGCCCTTCATGTGTTGTAAGAGATTTGTTTGCTGATCTTCCATTGGTTTTAATATTAAAATATAATGTTGGGAAGATAAATGTCACATGCTGGCCACTTTTTCCTTCTCATACTGGTGCATAATCTCTATTCTAAGTTCTGGTGGTCACTGCAGCACAGATTTCCAGAGGAAGAGGGTTATAAATGCTGTACCAAGACTAGTCTTCCATGTAAACCAGCTTCTCTGCATCTTAGCTTCCCAGGAGAACACCAGTCTTTTAAAAGCCACCAGGTGCCTCAGTCCTGCCAAGGTGGCATCCCTGTACCACTCCAGCTTCTCCACACAGCTCAGCTGTTGCATCACAAGCTTCAGCTGATTCTTAAGTCCCTGATCCTCTTTCAGAGCTGTTCGTTGTGCCAAAACATGGAGCTATTGAGAGGAACTGAAAACAGTTCAGCAGAGCCTGCCCAAAAGCCAGTWAGGCAAAGTGTGAGGCAGCATAGTAGCTGGGTTTTTTTAGGAAGAGGTCTGGGAATTTTGCAGTACTGTCTGTAGTAAGATTTCATACCCTAAGGGCTTTTATTTGCTTTTGTGAAAAAATTCATTTTTTCACAAAAGAATGAAAGAGTGGGAGGCTTAGTGGGAAATGTTGACTGGTGACAAGGAAACAGAGGGGACCTTGTTCTAGTGACTTGCCTGGCTGAACAAGGGCAGTTGTTTTCATGCTGCGGACCTTGGACCTCTGGGAAGCTGTGAGCTCCCTCTTGGAGGGCGTACTGGTGAATAAGGGAAACCCAGTCTGGGGGTCAGGGGTTTGGGGTTACTGGGGAAAGAGCTGTAGAGCAACTCRAGCAGAAATGGCAATCTTACCTTGTGGGGAGGGAGAACAAGCTTTGAGAGCAGTGGACRAATGCCTGCAGGGCCCCAGCACCCTTGATGCTGCTCCCTTTCTCCCAGAGCTTTGCATCTGAAGTTTGGGGCTTAGTCTGGTTTGGGATGTTTCTAAGTGAGTCTGAATAGGAAAAAATCCCCAAAACACCATTATAACTGGCTCAAAGGCAGATCTAACCGTGATGTTAGCCATTGTGGGACTGAGTACAGCCTCATGGAGTTTACTTTTCTCCCTTCCAATTTCCAGTTCTTCTGTCTCTTCTTAAACTGACATTCTTCAACAGCTTTATTTTACTCATTGTTCACTGCCCTTTGCTTGGAAGCATCTAGAATGAAACCCTTCCTTCATGTCCCCGGTTCCCTGCTGTATTTAAATGGTTTTATGGATCCTGCGCRCTTTGCCAACTACCCATTAATTTGTAGTCAGTCTCATCTGGAATGAAACACATCATTTGATGGCCCCATAAGCTGCCTTCTTTGTAGCCCTCTGCCTAGTTTTTGATCCCTTGTTATAGTCACAGGTTTCCCCAGGGTCTCTGAGGTGAAGCAGTTCAGGAAACCGGAAGAAAGAGCTTTGGCTAGGGGTGTTTATAAAAGATCCAGTCCTAAAGCAGATTAGAAGTGGTTTAAGCATGCCAGGGAAGGYTGTCCTCTCTGAATCTAGAAATCCACCACTGCAGCGGGGGGTGAGGGGCCTGCCTTACCACGTGCTCCAGCACCCTTGTTAGTGGCATTCAGGGACTGGGGCTTGTCCTTCTGCCTTACCTTTGATTCCTTTATGTAAGGAGGTTTTCCCTATTTAAAAGGAAAACACAGGCATGCCTGGTGCCATTCCTGCTCAGTGGATAATCGCTTGGGACATGGTTATTTACCTGTCTTGAAACCTCCACCCCATAGGGGCCAAGTTGTTCCCTTCACACGTCAATGGGACTCACTTGAACCCAGATAAAGTTGGCTTGGTGCTATTTCTGTCACCAAGGCTCTGTATTGTGGCTGCACATCTAATAGCATTAGCTTTTCTTAGGTGTCTTCTTCATGCACCTCAGCAGCAGTGCTTCCCTACTTGGGAAAGCAGCATCAGGTGTCACTGCCACAGCTTTACCGTCCACCAAAGATGTGCCAGGCAGAGGTGGCCAGAGCTGGTGGCCTCCCAGTTTGGCAGTGCCCAAGGGAGTTATTGCAGAGAGCATGGTGTCCACCCCGGTGCTGGTGGCCCCTGCAGGTGGCTGAGTAGTAGCCATGAATTACAGCAGCTCCTAAACCTGATGCCAGGGAGACTGACACTGCCCAGACCGTGGAAGCGGAGTGAAGGAAACACTGACACCAGAAAAAAAGCGTACCAGATCTGATTACAAAGAGTCTCTAATGTTTTGTGCTCTGTATTGTGACAATGCAGAAGGAAAAGGAGAGTCCTTGGCAGCCTCTTCAGAAGACTTTCTCCAGGGCTGGTTTGAAAGTGAGGAAAGAAGATAAWTTTTTTTTTTCTTTTTGGTGTTTGGGCTGCTCTGAGCCTGTGTTGTACCAGCACAGGTGCAGGATGCAAGTATACATATCACTGGGTAGGTATGTGGACATATGTACATAAGGACCAGCTATTCTTATACCTCTCTCTCTCATTTCTTACATCTGCCTTTGTTCCAACTTTCTCCTTCCCATATCCCACCTACCCTCCCATGCTGAGATGCTTGCAGACAAGGCCAGTTTTATACATCCCTCTTCCTCCGCCCTGGCTAAAAACTGTCCCTCTCCACCATCTGGTCAACATTGTAGCCRTCTCGTGCCAACACCTCCCCGTCCCCTGCGGGACAGCCGCCTCCCTCCCCGCTCCGCTCCTCTGCCACATGGTTGGCCTCCTCRTTGGCTGCCACCACTGCGTTGTCAGTGCTGTGTGCTGGCTGGTGGTTGTCACTGCTGTGCTCCTCGGCTTCCTGCACGTCAGACTCTACTTCCTCGGTGTCACTCCCACCTCCTGCAGAGAGATTGTTCTCTGGGGGAGGCTCCTTCTTCCCTCGATTCAGGCAGCAGTAGCTGGCGACACCCAGGAAGAGAGCGGAGAGCACGACCTCTGAGCCCGCCAGGTAGAAGATCACCTCATAGTTCTTGAGAGCATCGACCAGGCGGCCTGATGGGTGGAGAAGAAATGAGATGGTTGGAGAAGAAAAGAGGTGGTTAAATTCAGCCTATGGACTACTGTCCATAGGCTGTATGGACAGCCCAGCTCAGGTGGGCACCACCGGCATTTGGCTGAGAACCCATTCCTCAAGGGAAGAGCAAGAAGCCTGAATATCTAAAAATCGTCCTGGGAAAGAGGCACACTGTACCACCAGACAAAGTACAGTAAGAGAGCATGGCTGGGGTTTTCCTTTGTTTGGACAAGCTTAAATAATTGTGACACCCTCATGTTATGGTCTCACTCCCTGGTRGGCCATCTTCTACTTGCCAAGGTAGGCAAAGCCTCTCATGACTTGGCTTGTCCGGTCTCAGAACAGAAAATTTGAGAGGCATTGCCATTTCTTAAGCTATTATGTCAGGAAAACATTCTGAAGGCAAGAATAAACTTCTCTTTGGCAGAGAAATCCCTTTGGTTGACCTACACCTGATGATTTCTGTGCCAGAGATACTCTCAATTTWTTTTCTGAATAAACTGGGGCTGGCAATAGGGGGAGAATTCCCAGTCCTTGGTGCTGGAGAGCATGAACAGCTGSTGTCTTCATCCTGGTCTCACATGCTCCTGAATGCATTTGTGACCCCCAGTCTCTGTTTCACTACAGTGCATGCCCTGAAGGCAGCCCCAGGACACGCTGAGGTGCCTCCCAGAGCGGTCGTGGGAGGCACACGGCGAATTCCTGCGYAGGTGAATGTGCCCCTGTTCGGCCAAGCCGGATGGCGAGCGAGGAGCCTGCGTGCACCAGCGCGTGTGCGTGTGCGTGTGTGCAGCTTATCCTGTGCCAAAACCCCTCAGCCCCACGGAGCGGGAAGCGGCTCAGGAGGATTACACCAAACAAAGCCACTTTGTTCAGCCCCCTTCTCCCAGCCGAGCACTGTTCTCCCCAAGGCCGAGCCATCAGGATTGTCAAAGCACTCGAGCTTCCTGCACCAGGAGGGACCTACAGCAGCGAGGAAGGTGGCCTCAACGTGATTTTACTGCCCCCAACACCATTCTTGGGTGACCCTGCACTGTCTGTGTGCCATTGTGCATGCACACACCACCAAGGGACAGCTGAACTGAGATAGGAGGGCTGAGGGATGTCCCTTGTCACCACCCACTGGTGTGCCTTGCTCCTCATGGCAAGTTGCTGTTAAAGCCCTCTCTCCCAATGATTTTTCTGCACATATTTCTTGACCCTCCCTGGCCTAGGACTGTCTACTGCCCCACAGCTGGATAAGGTGAACCACAAATCATTGTTAGCGTTCAAGAGGGTCTTCTCTTGGCTGCCAAATTTTTATTGAGAACTGGTTGGAATTGCTGAGGGTGGGTTTTACTCGTAATTGTGGTATGTGCCAGGGAAAAGACCATTCACACCGAGGTCTTCACTGTAGGGCTTTAGCCCGTGTGTTACAGCTGAAGTAAGGGAGTGCAAGAAACAACAGAGTGGTTCCTGCCTGAGGATTTTCCGTGGACTTGTCCCTGACTCTTCCTTGCAAATCACACATGCAGGAAACTGTGCTTTGTTTGGAAATAAGCCTTTGCCATGTTTTGGCTTTCTCAGATGTGATCAGACACTTAACATTAATCTACTACACCAACCTCCACTCAACAGCCTGTTTTTATGGGCTGTTTGTGGGGCATGGACCTTACTAGGGACTGTGACCTAGACTAGACTGGCTGAAAAGCTGTGACTGTCTTAATCCTCTTAGAAAAATTAACAGCAAATGCCTCAGGGGACTGTACAAACTGTTTCTACTTGACTGACAGCAAAAACACCTGTGCCTTGGAACTGGAATCAGTATGAATTGCAATCGCTATTTACAGTGCCAATCAAAAGGTCATGGACACCAAGGAAAATTGGGACACTTGCTTTGTCCTAATGAACACTCTCAAAGGTTTGGCTGCAACCTGTGCCTGACCCTATYCTTAACATGATTCTATGCAACATTGATAGTGAAGGCAGAGATCAGCTCTCAGCTTCTAGAGGAAATTTAAAGTTGAGAAACAGGGCCTTTCTTCAAGTGCTGTGCCCATGCCCAATCCCTGCAATAGTGTGGAATGGCAGGCAAACCAATACCCTGTAGCAAGACACTCACCTGCAGAGGGTGGGCCAATGAGCACAGCAAAAGCCTCAATAAGTAGGACCAGCCCGATGGCACTGGAGAACTTCTGGGAGCCAACAATGGCCATCAGCACCTCGAACTGCAGTGCCCCCACCATGCCGTAGGAGATGCCAAAGAAGACGCAGAAGATGACCAGCCCCGTGTAGTTGCTCGCCCTGGCACTGCAGATGTCCGTCAAGCCATTGAAGAGCATGGAGAAGCTGAACAGATATGCCACATGAGGACGGACCCACTTCAGCCCTGCCACCATGCCACAGGCTGGGCGGGCAAAGATGTCTATGAAACCGATGATGGAGAGTAGGAACGCAGCCTCCGTGTCTGGTACGCCCGTGTCCTTGGCATAGTTGACCAGCAATATGGGGGGCACGAAGAGACCCAAGACCAGGATGAACTTTGAAATAGTGTAAATGATAAACCCTCGGTTAGAGAAGATACTAAAATCCAGAAGCTTCTTTCCTTTCTTGGGCTTCTTCTTGGCTTTCTTGCCTTTCTTGGTTGCATCAGTGGTGCTGATTCCCTCCTCTGATTTCCCTCCTATGGGCAGCATCTCCTTGGCTTCATATTTGTCCTGAGCTTTCCCCATCTTCCGCTTCATGCCCATATCCAGGGGTCTCATGACTGCCCCACAAGTGCAGCAGTTAAGCAGAAGGCCCCCCATGATAAGGAACCCTCCTCGCCAACCGAACTTCTCCAGCAGCACTTGGCCCAGCGGAGAGAGGGAGGAAAGGAAAACAGGGCTCCCAGCAGCAGCCAGTCCATTGGCGAGAGGCCGACGCTTGTCAAAGTAGGTGCCCAACATGATCAGCGAGGGCTGGAAGTTCAACGCCATTCCCAGGCCTACATGGAAGTGAGAGCCGGGAGGGAGACAGGGAGTGCAAGGACATGAGATATGGTTTGCAATGACCTGAAAACTTCCCTCAGGCTATCCTAGTCCTGAAGTCTCATGATGGGATGAAGGTGTTTCTCACAAGCCCCTGTGCCTTCATGTTGGTGGGTTGGCGCTGCAGAGGATGGGCCAAACCAGCCTGTCCACCTGCCTGAGGAGTGTTTGAACAGGCAGTTGTGCCTGTGTTTAGGCAGGACCTGAGCCTTACACAGCAACTTTGTCTCACTCCCCTTCCACTGTGTACCGGTGCCACCTACCACGGCTACCATGATCACTGAGCACCATTTAGGTTTTTTCTGTCTCTCTGCCCTCAACTACAKGCTCTGGCTGTTTAGATCCAGCAGATGCATCCCTCACAGGTGCAATGTTCAGGACTAGATGCTTCCCATAGCATCTGCAAATAGGTGAGGGGAGACCTGATACTAGACATGGCAGTGCTAAAGGGAAATACAACATGACCTTGGCTCTTCCCCAGGTAAGTCTGTGTCATGCCCCTCAAATCCCAGGCCTCTCACCTGTCAGCACACCAGCTGTCAGATAAAGCTCAATGATGTTGGTGGTAAAAGAAGCCAGGATCATGCCAGCAGAAGCTAGCAGCCCGCCGATGAGCATCACAGGCCGGCAGCCAAACTGGTTCACCATGATGCTGCATACTGGTCCTAGGAGGAAGCAGAGGAGATCGAATAGGAGACCAGAGGGACACAGAACAACTGAGGAGTGGCAGGCAGCCCAAGCACTCAGGGAAGATGATGCAGTAATGATGGACATCACTGCTTGGCGGCTTAGATACACGTCTGGTGGGCCTGGCCTAGGGAGAGAGTCTGTGGTGTGGAGCCTTCTGTTCTGCCCTGCCTTTGGACCCCTGCTTCCTGGGGTTTGGTGTGATAGGAACAACACTTCAGCAGTGGGAGCAAACCCTGTGTCAKCTGCCTGGTAGATAGGTGGTCCTGAGGTCTCTTGGGGCAGAGCAAACGGGGATTTGAGATGCAGCACACTTCCAGAAGAGAAGTGTTGGGACAATTACATTCTGAGTCATGGTTCATGACCAGGCCAGTGAGCCTGAGAAGAGTCCATGGGGACACAGTCTGGGCCCTTGGCAGAGTGGGGAAGGCAGGAGCTGGGGARGGGGAAGTTGTCAAGCATCACCTGTCCCATAGAGCATGGCCAGCATGATGGAGGAGATCCAGGCTGTGTCACTGTAGCCCACGTGGAAATCTTTCATGAGCTCCTTGAAGTAGACACTGACGGCTTTTGGGAAGGCATAGGAGAAGCCGGTGATCACAAAGCAGCCGAGGAGCACGATCCAGCCCCAGCCACCATCCGGGGGCTTCACAGGAGCTGGGAGTTGCCCTTCCTCTGGGTCAGGTCTCCCCATCGTCTAGCCTAGGAATGGAAAGGCTGGGAGGAAATAGGGCAGCAGAGAGAGAGAAAATCTGCTGCAAGGAGAGAAGAGAAAAACAGAGCAGCAAACATTTACTACAAGGTTTCTCTTTGTGCCCACCATCTCCAAGCTCTGAGAGGCTCATTGTGGGATCACATCTGCTCTTTGTACCTTTATCCTGCCAGGAAGGTGAGATTGCTTTAGTGTGTGAGGTCATGCCGTGGCTGGGCAGAGCTCCCCCTGAGTTTGGGGCAGCCCACAGCCCCATAACCCCTAGCCAAACACAGCTGAGCAGTGTCACGGCTCCYGGCTGACACTGGAGTGCTGCATCTGATGCAGCATAAGGATCTGCTGCACCCCTCCTTGTTCCCTACCCAGCCTTGGCTGCAGATGGTGTGAGGTGAGACCCAGCAATGTGAACCCTTTTTGCTTCCTAAAATCTGCCACTGAGCCTCTCCCATGCTGGTCTGCTCTGTCTGGGAGCCCTCCAGGACCTGCCCTGTCACAGAAACCTCCAGTAATAAGGCAAGAAGGTCCATTAAGCCCTCTGTGCTTTCCTCTGGGAGTACCCAGTGCATGGCACTCTCCTTCTCCCACCCTTCCCTGCCGTCAGGAGCCAGATTTTCAAAATAGGTGAAGGGGGAGAGCATGAAAAACTGGTGGTTATTTGCGTGCCAGAGAGATTAGGGCTCTGTACCTACACGGAGAGGCYGGAACAAAGCCTAAGTGGGGAGAAGGAGGGAATTAGAGGGGATGTCTTGTGAGTCGCTCTCAGGGCTCTTAAGCTGCCCAGGAATTTTGCTCCAGCTGGCTGCTGTGGGTATGTTTTTCATTTCTCCCTTAGGTACCAGGTCTCTGCCCCTTCCAGCAGCATTGGCCACAGTTTCTTGGTCAGCCAGGCTTATTTTCACACCTGCATGCAAAACCATCATTGAACCTGGATTATAGAGGCTCTCAAGAAGATTAGACAGGCATTCTCTGTGCCTGAGCTGGGCTTCTTGGGTCTGGCTTGTGTCCTATAACCATTTTGCTGRCAGCACACTCCTAACATGGGCTCTCTCTCCTGCCCAGCTCCTTTGGCTGAAGGACTGCAGGATGGCAGCCACATCCCCATCTCTTGGCAGCAGCACTTGTGGGAAATGCCAGGARTCATATGCTGACTAGAGACTGCAAAGGGGACAGGGACTGTCCTACGGACACAACACAGATAGCTGGAACCTGAGAGTTTTGGTTCTGGGTGTGCTTCTCAAGGAAGTCTCTGTGCTGGGTGTTCTCCAAGCAAAGAGGGTGAATTGAGCTGATTCCTGCAGCTGCTGCATGTCAAAGAACTTCAAAACCTTTAGACAAAAGTGTGGAAGGCACAAGCTAGGGCAGACCCCAGGCAGAGGGCCCTTCCTTGGCAACAGGTGGTCCTACCAGCTTCTGCCATCCCCAAATGTACCCCTCTTCCCCCCTCCCAGGGGGCTTTGCTCCTGCAAACACAGAGGAGGTTATTCAATGCAGCACTCAGATGCCTGCAACCACTGTAGGTCCCTGCGGCAGAGTTCCCCAAAATTTTAGGATGCTGTGAGCCACAAAAGGGGAGAATCTGGCTTGGATTGGGGCCACTCTTCTTGGATGGTCATTTCCTAGCAGCTCTCAGGCTAAACCACAGGSACTGTCACAGGCTACTCTAATCTCTCCCTCCCAGCCCAGGTCTCAGAGATCATGAATGAGGCATGAACTGAAAACAAGGTGCTATAAAGATGTTTTTAAGSCAAGAAATCACTACAAGGAGAAAAAAAATTATACACGCTCCAGCTACCCATGTCAAAGCCATCCTGGTGTTTTCTGGACCACCGGCACCCTGAAAGCCAGATCAACGGCCTCATTCAGCTTCTGCTATTTTGCCCACTGTTCCTCTCCCAGCTCCAGCTGACAAGCTATATCCAGTTGTGCAAAAGGTGATCCCCTGCCCAAGCTCAATAATTTCTCAGTCTGTGCTGGTGCTCCACCACTGCCCCATCTGCTGCACGTAGCCACTTCTAGAGTGGCTGCCACCAAACATAGCCTGAGACTTTTTATCCAAGCCCCTYTCCCAGCCTTGCTTTTCTTGAGCTCATCCTGCACCACAAATTAAATTAATCAATCAAACCATTGCAATCTATCTTTCCCTGAACCCCGCTGCTCCCTGCCAGCTTCCTGGCAAGAAAAAGCACTGTTTGAGTTTGGAGATGGAGGGCACCTCTGCAGGAGCCACTTGCTCAGTGCCACTGAACTGGACAGTAAAGCATGAAAGCACTTTTACCTGCCTGCAGCTAGATGTTGGCTGAAAAAGGTGGGGCGCACCAGAGCACACCTCTGCTGGAGATTCATCACAGCTAAGAGCCAGGCAGTCCAAAGCTGCCTTGTTCCTAATACCACAACACTTTTCTGCTCACAGCTGCACACTATGGCCACACCAGGTACCTTTGCACACTCTACAGATCGCTATCATTTTCTCCTCAGTTAAGGAGCTTTATTCACAGGTAAAAATACCATGTATGGGCTAACACGCACCTAAAAGCTCATCAGCGTGGGCACCCACCCTTCCCTGTGCATCACAGGAAGGCAGGCCAGAGCAGGGACTGCCACAGAGCCTGCTGCAGGTGGCTGCAAGGAGAAGATTTGCACCGAGACCAGCAGGCACGAGCCCAGGTTGGAAGGATGAAGAGTGAAAACCACAGCTGTGGCTGTCAGTCCCTGGACACACAGAGAGCACAATGCAGCCAGTGCTGGATAATGCCCAGAAAAGCCCCACTGTGCCAGACAAGCTGCACCCAGGAGGGTCCACATAAATGCTCTTAGTGCCTCCACACAGCACAGATGGGGTGGGAGATCTATTTATTAATTGTGGCAAGGACCACAATTGCTACCACCAGCCCCTCCAGCCCACAGACAACCCCCATGGAAAGCATTTGTCAGAGAATTAAATGACTGCAGGCCTGGGATGAATTGTCCTATCGGCTGCTGGAGCAGGGATGCAAGCTTGGAGCAAGGGTGCTCYACACCACTGACCTGTGCAATGAAGCGATGACCTCTCGAGCCCAAGCTGAGCCTCCAAGGGTTGAGCAGATCTGTCAACAGCGCTTTCTGTTCCTTCTGGCTGGCACTTCCTGGCTCTGGGTCAGGTGCCTGGTTAGATGGTCTTGCTGGATCTTTTCTCCATGGTGGGACAATGACTGCAGGAATCTAGCACCTGATGAGCTGTATCTTGTGCTCTGCTCCTTCCTTCAGGGCAGCTACGTCCTCACAAGACAGCTAATTGCCCTCTCAGCCGCTTTCYTCCAGTTCCAGTGATGCTCAGCAAAGCTGTCCGTGCCCTCCCTTTCCTACTGTGGGTGCAAGTAGTGCCCCACGGCACTTGCAGCGTGGATGTGGGTCAGGAGCTGCTTATGGTTTCAGGTCGGCAGAGACCAGCGGGTGCTGAGCGGGCAGAAAGCACTTCTCCACTTTTAAGAGGCTTTTCCAGCCAATGGGGATGAGGTGGCTGCCTGCCACAGCCCGAATCCCCCGGTAATCCCGCTGCCCAGGGGCTCCTTGCGTTTTCCCCAGCAGAGAAGGGCAGGGCAGGCTGGCGGGGTCGATTCGGAGAGAGCGAGATGGGAGGAAGCGGGGTGAGGATGGGGGTGCTGGGGATGGCAGGGGTGGTGGGGAGAGGGGCAGTGGAGGATGACACCGTGTGCCCATGGCTTCAATAAGGTGCAAAATAGCTGAAGGTTCTGCTTTTGAAGCTCCCTCAGCTGCCAGCCAGAACGGAGAAGCGCTGGCGCGGTTTTGCAGGGCACATGCCCAGCAGAGAATGAAGACAAGGTGGAGCAGCAGAGGAATCGCTGCCAGCCATGGCTCAAACCACCCGATCCTGCCCACCCCCGGCAGCTCCAAAACAACCTCCCCAGTGCCTGACTCACACGAGGAGCTCTGGCAGGCGCTGRGGACGAGCCACTCTCTGGCCACACGTGGGGGACCCCCTTTACTTCCAGGGAGGGGGCTGGGGCTCAGCCCAGGTGGTGTTTTGGGGAGGAAAAGGGCTGGGCTGTAAAGCCCAGCAGCCTCTCAGCGGCAGGGGGGCTGCGGGGGCTTGGCAGCACTCACAGCTAGGGTTTAATGGCTATTAATAAGGCTAATCAGCTAAGCCCTGGCCATCGCTAGCGCTCCAGCCCTCACTCACGCTGTCTCTCCCGTGAAGGCTCCCCCAGCACACGCAGGGTATTCCCAGGTTGGTGAGGCCCCCACAGGTCCATGGGGAACGTTTTTCCCCTGCACTGTGCAGCTCTGGGGTGCCCAGCACACACGTTCCAGCAGTAGGCGAGGAGAAGGTGGCCACAGGTCCTTGCTGCCCTCTGGTGACAGGATGGACGGGGCGACTCGGGGGACAGCCAGCAGTGGGCAGTGCAGCCCTCCTGGTGCCCTCCACATCTACTCCAGAGCCCTGGGTTGGTGGCTGCCCCATCTGGAGCCAGGCMCCGCAGTGTCCAGCGCCAAGCCATGGGCAGCCGTCATGGCCCCAGTGCTAGGGGGGAGTGCCTGTCCTCCTCCCTCTGCATCTTGTCACCGAGGTGATGTCACAGCCACTGAAATGGACACAGAAGATGCATCCACCGTTTTATTTTWWAAAAAAAAAMCATATATTTTCCACAGGACCATACATGAAGCAGGGCAGTGGTGCTGGACAGTGGTGCTGCCCCTGGCCTTGTCCCAGAGCTGCCCAGCAAGGTAAGGGGCTGTAGCTGGGGTGAAGGGGCAGGTGCTGCTACAAACAGGCACAGTTGTCAAAGGGGCCAAGACCAGACCCCATCAGCCAGACCATATCACTGGAATCCTTCTCTTAGCCTTCTCTTCTGGGGTTCATTCTTCTGGTAGCAAAGCAGCTGTTAGGTGAGAGTCCTTCTCTGCCCACAGCAGGGACAGCAAAGCTTCACCTTCAGCATCCCCACAGCACTTCCCTGGCTGCAGATGATCTTAGCCAGCCTGAC